CTAACAGCAAATATAATGACAACAGATTAGGTTGAGATCATTAACAAATTGGTACATGCATGAAGTATGGTAAATCTATAACAGGTTCTGTTGTACCTACAGAGTTCCTGAGGCTAATATCAGGTCAGTTTACTGCATTTTTTTGTAATACATGAACATGCAAGCACAAGAAGTGGAATATTAAGCTCCCTTGTCAACCATGACAGGATTTGAAATGAACTCAAAGACAAACAATCTTTAATGGCCAGTAGACACCTAATTTACAGGGAAATACCATTCCCTTCAACGATAGGTAGGACTTATTGCTTTATCTTTGCCTAGTTAGAAGTTGTCTTGATTTTCACTTTTCATTTTCCTTTCTTAATAGTGAAAACCAAAAGGAGAGAAAAGGAGAGACCGGTGCCGTTGAAGACATTTTGTTGTGTTTGAGAAGCATGAAGTTGAACGTTAAGACTAATTGCCATGCAAATACAAGCACTGAATCCATATTTTTATAAAGACCCTAAATAGATCGCTACTGATTACTACCAAAGCACAACAGCTGAAGCCTACTGCTCCAGAGTCAAGCAATGAGTTCCCTGAAACCAGGCCAAACCAAGAATGAGCTCAATCCCAGAGCTGCACGCTATAAATCACCGGCAAGCGATTTGGGCAGTTGCTGCCACCATATCCTAATGAAACAGCCTAAAAAGAAAAGGTAAACCCTCTATATAGCAAGTGCACCAAAGCTTTCGGAATGATTTTTGAAGCACTGAAGAAACTAATCCCCATCCCTCATAACATTAATTCATTGTATACGATTCAAAAATTTCCAATTGACTAATCCAAAAATTCTTCAAAAAAAAAATAGGAATTCCATATCAGTAATGCCTTTAATTGATACAAAATTTGGCAGTCATTACAAAACCTAAAATCAAATTCAAGAAAATAAAGATCCATTTTCTTGATTTAGGGCTTTAACTTTTGACAAAACAAAATAATCAACAACATTAGAACATTGAATATCCAAAAAGAAAAAGACACAATTAACATTTATTACATAAGAATCCAAATTCAATCAGAAGCATCTGCAAATTCACCACATTTAAAGTTTTCTTTTTGTATACAAAAAACCCCTAAATCAAGAGAAACAGAAAATACGTGTCGGGGCAAGTACCGAACATTTAGCGAGAGGGAGACGATATTGAGGAGTAGGTGAGCGGGCGGTCCTTGGCCTCTTCGGGGTTGTCGTCATCATCGGGGTCGGTGGTGGAGAGGTTAACGCAAGAGCAGCGCTCGAGAGATGAGAAGAAGGCCGAGACCACGGTGGCGCTGACCCAGCTTGCTACCTCTTCCAGCTTCTCGCGAGAGATCAAGCTCGGGGAGTTGTTTTCGCTGTTATCCATCCTTGTTCTGAAATCGATTTGATTTTCGACAGTGAAAATTGATTTGATCAGGAAGACCGGAAGAGGGTTGGAGAGAGGGCTTTCGAGCCCTGATAAAGGACTCCGGAAGGATTGGGACATTGTTTTGTTTCTTTGTCAGTAATTAATTACGACGATTACGGACAGAAGACATGTGTTATGTTGTAGATAAACCTGGTACGCCTAAGATTATTAAAGCGCATCTGGTGTAGTGGTATCATAGTACC